GAGATTTTATTTTCTCTTTGTCTTCAAAATCTCAGTATTGAATGCGTAGATGGACGGGCTACTGTCCTCAGTCCCCAGCATTATGAGAGATTTTTGAATGACGTAAGGCACACTCAATCAGAACCATTTGTCTGCCAAAGGCTGTTTGATAATGATGACCTCAAACCCTTTGACATAACCAATGTTAAAGGATACTGGAATCAAGAGTTATTAAAACACATGTCTTTTTCATCTCCTTTGAGAGCTCAACCATCTCCTCTTGGTGAATTGAAGTTAGATGATAGGGTCACAGGCTTTGTTGGAAGCAGGCCTAACAAAAGGCTACGCTTTTCAAAGGAGTCTAACATATCCTCCCAGTCAGTTCCTCAGAAAGGGCCTGCTAAAGCTTGTCAAGAGCATTGCAATGGCAGTTCTGTAGCTACCATGGAAATACGCACTTCGAAAGGAGGCTGTTTTGATGGATCAATATCCGGGAAAGTAGTAACAGAGAAGCCTCAGCAGAATTTTGACATTGGCTCTGAAGTTGAAATACTTTCTCAAGATAGTGGCATTAGAGGGTGTTGGTTTAGAGCTTTGGTCATCAAGAAGCACAACAATAAGGTGAAAGTGCAGTATAAAGATGTCAAGGATGCTGAAGATGAAGCTAAGAATCTTGAGGTGAGTGTTAACTACTGTAGTGTTCTTTGCCTGCACAACCTTACAAGCAACTAAGCAAGATATTAGCTCTTGAATTTGTTTATTATCATTATTTATTTTATCTATTTGCTTAATGAGACTTTATTTTTATGATGCAGGAGTGGGTTTTGGCAACCAAGTTAGCTGCATCTGACAAATTGGGCATCCGGATACATGGGAGGACAGTTCTTCGGCCTTCTCCTTCATCGTATAAGGGCAGGGTTTCATGGGTTGTCAATGTTGGAGCAATTGTGGATGCATGGTGGAATGAAGGGTGGTGGGAAGGCATTGTTGTCAGGAAAGAATCTGAAGACAGGCTACATATCTATTTTCCAGGTCAGATCTGATTTCCTAAAAGTCATCATTTCCTTGTTTTTAACTTGTATTCTCAATTTCTAGGATTTTATGCTTATAATGATGCAAAAGTTGAATATATCTGACAATATTATTTTCTTCTAAATCCTGCAGGAGAGAAAGAAACGCATATCTTTGGTCACGGTGACTTGAGGCATTCACAAGAATGGTTGGCTGATGGTTGGAAACATCTTAAGGAAAGACATGAGCTTGTATCAGTGTTGTTGGGTGACTCAACAGTGAAGCAAACAGTAAAAGAGTCAAGTGATGTCATACTGGAACAACATACCACATGTAGCAATGGTGTCCATCATCTAAGTACTGAAAAACCAAGAGATGAAGTTGCATCAGGATCAGGTAATACTGATGCAGATGCTGGTGAGAGATTAAAAGTGTTGGAGGGGGTCCGTGATCTGTCTAAAGATAATCGACTGGCTCAGTTAAGGTGGAAGACATCGGGGAAGAGAAGACGGTGTAGAAGCCCTGTTAACAAGGTGCGTTTGAGTTCTGAGAGAAATCGAAATGTCACCAAGGAATCTGGTATGCAAATTAAGGAGACGCTCTTCATCCCATCATCCTTGAAGGTGGATCTTGACAATTGTAAATACATCACCGATTCCCTCTTCAACTCCTCTGTTGTGTCTCCATTAACTAACCTGGTCATGTCTAGGTGATGACCACCTTCACTTCACAATCAGTTTAGAGTGTGTGTTGTGTACATGGTTCAAAATGATCTGAAGCAGTTGTTGTAGGCCTTTGACAGGTTTTCTTTTCAGCATGGGAAATGTTTTTAGTGAAGCTGGTGAGGCATTCCAAAAATCCATTCCCCTGTATAAATTTGTAAGAAGTAGGAGGTAGCCTGCCTGGTGTGTATACTGACCATCAGGAATCAGTTTTGATTCAATAGAATAACCTTTTAGAGGTCAGAGTTATGTTCCTAAATTTCTGCTTGTATTCTGCAATTGCTTTCTTTGCGATACCAATAAAGTTTTCTTCTTTCTTCATTATCGTAAATCAATATCTTACTCTTCCAACTACACTGCATTTATTTCCATTCTACCTCTGCTCTCTCTGACAAGAAGCTAAACAACACAAACATAACTGTTTAATCAAACTATTTCATCAACTAATAACATTATAAAATTAAATATTTTACATGAATGTGCCATAACATAAGTTTAGGTGCATCACCTAATAAAAAGATATTATGATCCGTATCACATTATGTTTACAAGCATATTCGGAGGCAGAAAAAAAGTTTATTAATTAACATACAAATTAAGATTAGTTTTCTTTCATTTTGTTACTCTACATCCAGACAATAAATACATCTCATATCATTTTCCCAAATTTTGTCCAGTCCAACACAGCATGTGTGTAATGATGCAGGTTCATTGCATCTTGAAGAAAGCTAGCAATAATCAAGCTGATGTTACATCAGTGAACAGTATGTATTTTTGCTGATCGAGTTTGGTTATTTAAAAATAGAACACCATATTCTGCATTACGTTAATCATATCTTAATGATCTTGTTTGTTTATTGTTTGTATGGTATTATTACTTAATTGCTTAGTTTAATGATAATTGTAGTTTAGTGTTTGTTGAAACTGAACTGTGCAGATGCTGAAGTAGGGATATGATGGGGAGGGGATTGATTAAGCCAAAGGAATTGGGGTAGGTACTTGACTTAAACTCTTGCTTTAAGAGTTAATCCTTTCTATTTTTTGAAGAAGACAGGTAGGTGCTTGACTCCTTCCTAGCTTAATTATTCTCTAATAACTCTAGTTTATGAGTTATATATGAACTTGTATTAATTTCGTTCTATTAATAGTATTATGGTGAAATATTATCAAACTTTGGTGATTAGGTAAATCGCGAGTCACGCAATCAGTTCTCTGGCAGTTTGGCACCACACTGTCGTCTCCAATCATGACCTTTAAGTCAGACGATGAATCAACTAGATATTTTCAATATTTATATGGTCAAGTTAATTGATCTATATGCATTTTTGTTTGAATGAAACCTCAAATTTGAACTCATTCTTGATCTTCTCTATATAGATATAATCCAAACACAACTCAACAATGAAACAGAAGGAATCTTTCTCAATCGAGGGATGCCAACATCTCTTAATAGAGCTTGTTGCACATACAAAGGAGAATGATCAAACACTTAAAAATTCTCGAGCATATTGACAAGAACGGTTTCCAAGCTAAGACAATTTGCATTTCAATTCTATTCTCTAAAAATATCCTTACTCGCCAACCACTCACTACTTACCTATCTCTCTTTTACAAGCATCTACAAGATTCTATATGAGACTGAAATGCATATCATCTCATGTGACTCATTTGTCCATTAACTCAAAATGCAATTCTAACCAAACTCGACAACGCCACCTTATCCATATAAGTTGAAGCTCCTTTATCACTATCCAAACCTTAGCGTCTTCAATTTACATTGCACACCTTAAAATATTGCAAGTTAAATTCCCCATTCAAAGTCTCAATTCATCTATCACAACATGCATGCACTCCTCTTCATTCAATTCATAAATAAATACTTTTTATTGCTTAATATTAATTTAAATAACGGAGAAGAGTTGGATGGCCTGATTCATAAAAATGGTCAAATATGCTTTAATTTAAAAAAACATCTAAATTGCAATTTGAAGAATATGTTATTTAGTTATGCGCGCATCGTCGTCAAATGGGCATAATTATTTTGTACAATTTGTTTTTCCATTTCTTTGAGGGATTGATTAGTGGCAAATTATGCTGTACATCCGTATGCATGGTGCATACGGATGCAAAAACGACGTCGTTTTAAAAAAACGCGTGTCTCCCCTTAAAAAAAAAAATCAGGTTCGATTCCCAGCAACAACATATGAACTATAATTTCATAATCGATGAACTATAATTCCATAATCGATGAACTATAATTCCATAATCTAATCTATGAACTAAAATTCCATAATCTATAAACTAAAATTTCAGAATCGATGAACTACAATTCCATAATTGATGAACTATAATTCCATAATTGATGAACTATAATTCCATAATCAATGAACTATAATTTCATAATCTATGAACTAAAATTCCAGAATGAATTAACAATATAATGTTGTTGCTGGGAATCGAACCTGAATTTTTTTTAAAAGGAAAACACGCGTTTTTTAATAAAACGACATCGTTTTGACATCCGTATGGACCATGCATGGTGCATACGGATGCACAACATTGTTAATTAGTGGAGCCTATGGGCTCTAAGACAAAAATATTTGTAGTAGCTAGTACAGTATTATTATATATATTATTATACATAGTAATAACATAACCCACTACTGGGATTTGGATAAGATCCTAATTATGATGGTAAATTACAGTATACATAATCAATCCATCATATCACATGCTTTTTAAATATTTAATTTATAAAAAAAGTTTAACACTTTATTAACTATTTTGATTATTTCTTCACGAATAGTTGAATACCATAAGCTTTATCAAATTCACTTGATAATAACTTGATTTTATATTAATTAGTAATGAACGTCTTATTATAATGTTTTACAGCACATTAGTTTTAATATGATGTGGGGCTGTTTTTCACCTAAACACCTACATCCTAGTTGGTAATTTATAACATAAAGTGGGAAAACATATATAGAGAGATCTGGTCATCCAAGCAACCTTAATTGCAATAATTATCTCAGAAGAATATTGGGTGCCTGTGTGGAAAATAACACAATTAGTAAGGCACTAGATATTCTTTAATTCGTTTAAGTTTGTTCCACTCTGAAAAACAAACATCATATGCTTAAAAAAAAAAAAAAAGAAATCAATGTATATATAGAGGGTAGAAGCTAGAAAGTATGTACGTAGGGAAATTGTATAGAATGGGTTTTAATATATATAATGAAACATTATTTAATTATTATTTGTTGTTATTGTCAACTCAACCACCTTTTCCAACTTATGATTCTGTCCCTCCAAAATTGATTTATCTCCATCTATCTATCCTCAATATTCCCGACCTTATTTTCCCATAAAAGATCAACTTCTCATAAAGATGGGACTCCTCTTTCATTCTACAAGCATCTGTTCATAAATCGTTTTCAGTCTGAGATTAAATTATTATAAGGCTAGCTAGCCTGGTTTGGGCTTCTTACTTTCTCAGCTCACAATTCAAGTACGTACGATAGATATATAGATAGATGATGTTGTATATATAAGATGAGCTGGATCTCTTTCATGAACTAATAATTAAGTAGGTGGCGAAATGGCAGGCATTGATATGAAGAAGAGGAATCCCAAGATGAAGCCAATTCCGAAAGTCACGCTTGCATCCATTGAATCCTTGGCCATACCTCTCGTAAGTTGCCCTACGTTTTCGTCTGTATGTTACTTTAGTTCCCGTCGTGGTGGTGGTGTTTAACTGTACTGTACTGCTGGTTGTGGGTGGCGGCGATTAGGTGCAGGAAGTGGTGTTCTTGGCGGACTACCGGTGCGCCAGGTGCCAGAACAGGGTGGCCGAAGTTATGTCCAAAATGAACGGTAAGTTCCCCGGCCGCCCGAATCGATGATCGGATCGGAGTAGTCTTTTTTTTTTTTTTTTAACGTTGGGTGATGTGACAGTGCGTAGGTGAACGTTGCATCCCCACTACAATGCGCGCAGCTGTAGTGTGGTAGCAATTTCCCCCACCCTGGTCCACCCTGCCTGCACGTAGTAATCAAGAGCCTCACCTCAGCTTGCTCAAATTTCTACAATTTTATGTTTTATATATATGTTTCAAGTAGACATCTGTCGATCTCCAACTATTTTTTTTTTTCATTATTATTCCTTAACATTTAATAATTATATATCTTATTCTCTAATAATATCAACATATATATATATATACTTGTAGGTAAAAGTCAAAAATTTACATTTCATTTTCTTCAATTTGGACAAAATAATCACGTGAAATACTTTAATTTTTTCTAACTTTCTTTAATTTATTTAATTTTGGTATGGTGCAAGTGGTCCCTTTTTGCTAAAGTTAGTGCAGTGCAGTGGCAGCTAGCTTTAATTTTATCTTTTTCTCCGTCCTCATGCATCATCCTATCATTCTGGATTTTCTTTCTTCCTATTCTTGCATTTGTGGCTGCGCTATAGCTAGCTGCTTAAACTAATTTGGCACTACTAAACGACAGATCATACTATAATCTGGGCTGGGGTTATTGCCTTAATTGTGCAACCTAGCTAGCTAAGAAATTAAAGCATATATATATATATATATATATATATATATATATATGATGATGATGAAATAGAAGTCTGATATATATAGATAATGTTGTTTCTTAATTAATGTTGATCTTACCATGTGTACTGTTGTTGTTATACGTTTGTGATTCTTAATTGTAAATATAGGAGAAACAGAATCAGTGGTGGTGAGCGTGCTGGAAAAGAAGATCACAGTAACCTGCAAATTTCCGAGGCTCAACATTTCTAAACAACAACCTCCTCCTCCTCCTCCTCCTGCTGTTTCCTTTTTCTGCAATAATCCTATTAACAAAGTTGCTTCCGTTTTTCTGGCTTTCTTTCTTCCTTCCCGTACTTAATTCATCATATCACTTCACTTCAATTCCCACTTATGTACCTAGTATATATAAAGATACATATATAGCTCTGCATTTTACAGGAAACCCAACCCCCCAAAAGAACAACAGATTTTTTTTCACAGATTCCCTTTTATAGATTCAAAGTCTTTAATTTGACAGCAGTTAGTTAGTTTGTACTTTTTATATGTATTATTCTCTTTAATTTTCTGGGATTGTACTTGTAAACTGAAACCTAGCTTAAAGCTGTTCGATCGAAAGAGAATGTAAACAAGATTGTTCGTTGTACTTATTAATTTTCTTTCATATACAGATAGATTAGTGTACGACTCCTCCTTTGTACCTACACTTCATTTGCTTATTTCTATGTTTAATTTCAGCAATTGTTGGCAACTGTACCTGAAACTCAGTGTTTCCTGCAGAGCGTCAGAGCTAGCTAGCTAGGACGACCTGTTTGATTCAAACTTCCAACTTCCAACTGAACTTCCTTTTTTATTTATTTTTTAGTGCCTGAATAGTATTGCATTATATCATCAATGGTTTATCCTCTGACCATATAAAGCTTATTCAATTACATCACTATGATCCTATCCATAAGAGCTATATATATACATATATATATATATACACACACACACACGCTATTTTTATGGGCCACACTTGTGTAATATTGTCTCACATATCATTATTTGTGAATCGGGTCAATCGTTATACCGTGCACCAGGGCACGCATAGCAATGTGCGTCTAGCGCCTCCCAAAACGACGTCGTTTTGGTGCATTGTCAAAAAAAAAAAAAATATTTGTTTCGAATACACATAAACTCATAACTGAATACACATAATCTAACATGATACATAATACACAGAACTCTTAACTGAATACGCATAAACTTTTAATTGAATAGACATAAACTCTTAACTGAATACATATAAACTCTTAAATGAATACACACAAACAGCTGAATACACAAAAACTCATAACACAATACACAAAAACTTTTAATTGAATATACATAATGGGGTTTTGGCCGTTTGGACGGACAAAGTGACGTCAACAATTGAAACGCGCGAATTTTGTGCCTGGGTGCACATTATAAACTGCCGAGTCGGGTCAACTCAATATGTAAATGTAATACATATACTAGCAAATGTAATACTCCATACTAATTAAGAATAAAATGTTTGTTAGTCATACTTTTACATTTAATGCACATCAAATATTACTTTCTTCATTAAAAGTTATTATATTGTTTCTTATATTTTACATATTAACTCGACCTGAATCACTGATAAGTATCCGAGAAATACTTACACAAGTTTTTACATATATTTTTATATGTTGACATTATGAATAAGTCGTGAACAAGATTCATATAGTTTGGTCTCTATACTTCATTACTTCAAATGGAAAAAAACAAAGTTAGTTTGATATACTTTGCAAGTCTGCAGTAGTAATATTAGTTTGTTAAAAACAAGATATTAAGTAATTTGGGGGGTCCTTGCATAAAATTCATTTTCTGAAGTCCTTACTATATATTAACAAAAACATATCCCCGGCAAGATTTTGTGATTATTTCATCATCTTGCGATCAGAACCCAAAAATAGGAATTCGTACCCGTTTCCTCAATCTTCAACTCCTGCAAAATCAAGCCCTAACCCTAATTCTAGGCTTTCCCTTCAATTAAACCCTCAATGGCTAGTGATTCCACTGACCTCTCTCGTCGCAAGCACCGTCGCTCCTCTCCTTCCGATGACGAAGCTAAGGATGCTTCAAAACGCCGTAAGCACCGTCACCATCACCATCACCGCCACCATCGCCGCAGCAAGAAGCACGAAGAGAGTGATTCCAAGTCCGAAAATGAGATTGCTGAGGCTGGGGCTGAAATTGAGAACGAAAAGCAGGCACTTGGCAGCGGTGCTATGGGTGTGGTAGTGGGCAGTTCGAATTTGGGGATTGATTACGATATGGAGGAAGGGGAGATTGTTGACGATATTTTACCTTCTGCTGCTGCTGCTGTTGCTCATGACGATGACGACGTGGATGGTACTGCGAGGACAAAGGAATTGGATTTAGATAGGGAGACAGAAGATGAACTACTTCAAAACCATCCTCTTGTCAAACTCAGTAATTCAGACATGGTGTGTTCTATTCCCCTCATGTTGTATCAGGAAATTCAGTAAATATTTGTTCTTCACAAGTGTACATTTGATTGCTTAAAAAATATGCAAATGTTACTTCATTTGTGTATTGTACCATGCTAAATGTGGTTTAATCTTGTTTCACAATCCTTGTTAATCTAACATCTTTTATGTCCAGCTTCCACGATTCTTTTACTAAGCAACCAGTAAGGGCTTTGCACTTTTTTTTTTTTTTTTTTTTTTTTTTTTTTTTTTTTTTTTTTTTTTTTTTTTTTGGAGCATTCCATAGTGTCATTTATATGATGCATTAATTGTGTTTTAATTGTATTATAGAATCAAGGGGTTACCGCCAGTATGCATGTCATAGACCTGATAATTTGTATTCTGTTCAGAGCCATGCACAGTATTAGACTATATTGTTCGGGCAAAGTACTTTAGGTGTATTCCGAAGACTGATGGCTTTCATTTTATGTGTAAGCAATAGTTAGTGGTTTGCAAAATGCAATTGCCATCACAATGTTCATTTCTGTAATTTATTTATGATGGTAAAGTGCAGGACCTTGTGCATTTAATCATTTCTTTTGTTTTGTATTTTACTTGCAGAAACTTCATGAAGCTCAAGTAGATGCCCCTAATCCCAGTCTGCCTTCTGAAAGCAATTTGGAAAAATCTGACAGGAATTCAATAAGTTCAGGAGGGTACAATGCAAAGAGGAAAGATAGAGAACATGATGATGATAAGATTCACAAGCATGTAGGTCGGGAAATAATGTCTAGTGAGGGATATCATGCCAATGGCAATTCTGTTGGAGAATATCATAAAGGGGACCATAGACAACGTGATGGAAAACGCTCTCCTGATAAAGAAGATAGAAAGCAAAAGAGCTACCGTGGTGATGAAAATGATTTCAATCAGAAAAATTCGTTGACAACTGAGGATGCTGGGAAGAGACACAAGGCTGGTGATGGAGCCTCTCCTCATGATGGATACTATAAAAAAGGTCGTTCTAGGAAGGAATCAAAATCTCCCAATCTGTCTGGGCCATCTGAGTTGGATGATAAGTATTATAAGGATTGGAAATACAAAAATGATTCAGATAATGAGAGAATGACTAGACGTAGCAGAGACTATCGGCATGGGAGCCGAGATATTTCAAGGGAAAAAGGAGAGCGTAGTCCCAGTCATGGTAGATATGTTAGCCGGGAGGAAAGGCATCATAGCCGGGAGACTATTGAAAGATATAGGGAGGCAAGCCTAGAAATTAACAGGGATAGAGTCAGAGATAAAGATAAGGAAAGGGCAAGAGAAAATTACAGGGTAAGGGAGAGGGAGAGGGAGAGGGGGAGGGAGAGCGAAAGAGAAAAAACCCGGGATAGAGAGAAGGAGAAGGATAGGGATAGACATAGGGATATTGATAGTGATCGGGAGAGGGGGAGAGAGAGGAGAGATAAGGATAGGGAGAACAGAAGAGGTAGAAATGGAGACAGAGAAAGAGATAGGGATAGTGATAGATCCAGCAGGTGTTGTGGATATGATGACTTGGGTAGTAGCTATGGTGATCGAGATAGGTACAGTGCTTCCAGGCATATTAGAGATGATGAGACTCGCCACAGTCACAGAGAGACGTCAAACAATGTAGAAGAAAGTAATTCTGACAAAAAACTAGTTGAAATGGGAAATGAGAAATTCAGAAGGTATATCTTTCTCATGTCTGTACATCCTGTATTTAAAAGTTCTTATTTTAATAGGAATACTCTTTTATGTGCTTTGGTGGATTGCAGAGATGATGATGAACAGGAGGAGTATCAGGAAAAAATCACGATGCAACTTGCTGAACAAGAAGAAGATATAGAGAGTATAAAGGAGGAGAGTAGAAGGCGAAGGCAAGCTATACTTGAAAAATACAAGAATCAGCAGCAACAGACGCACCCTAAAATCCACTCAGAAGAAAGTGGCAAGTCTTTCCTCACTTTAACTTTTAATATTTTTATTGGTCTCTTATCTTTTTTTTTTTTTTTTTTTTTTTTTCCCTCCTCTCTATATGCAGTTCCATAGATTCAGCTATTTAGATGCTTCTGCTTTAATGCTGTGCGCGTAATCTTGTTCTTTAATTTCATTTTAGGGTGAAATATTTTATGTATACTACAAGTTCTAAGCTGTTCCAATGGTTGTTCTGCTGAACAAACATTTTGGTTATAGCATACTTTATACACTTGTATATCAGCATTGGTTTCTTACAATATTAGAGTTCTTTTAGTAGGCTATTTATCTAATATTATTAGCTCATAGTTCACATATGTTTGTAGTTTATGGCCCTTGATTTTTTGCCTTGTTCTCTCTCTTTATGGGTTATGCATCACGCCATCACGTATTCCTTAACAATGACCTTTTGTGGATTAAACAGATAAGGGTCTAGTAAAGCAGTCTGCTCAGCCAGTTCAAGGTGTTAATCTTGCATCAGAAGTTGATGCTAGAACTGATGATGCAGACACTTATGTTGGTGACCAAGAGTTTTCTGTTGGAAAATCTCCTCACCAGGATAACCTTTCTGTGAATGAGCAGACTTCTGGAGTCGGTGGACTGGGACAGGGTAGTCCAAAGGTACTCCAAGTTTTATTGCAACTGCTATATATTTTTAAATTCTCGGTTTCCATTATGAATTCTTACTGCAACTTCATTTATATCTTTGTATGGGAAATATATTGATGGATGGATTTCTATCTTTTCTGGTTTTCCTTAATTTTTTTTCCCTCTGTGTGTGTATATGTAAAGTGAATATGGATAATATTTTTTAATTAAGCATTTTAAGTGTTCACTGACATAGCTCATTGACAGCTTAGAATTGTTAAATATTGCAGAGTGAGAGGTCAAATGACATGTTCTGTGATGATATATTTGGAGAATCACCTGCAGGAGTTCGCAAACAAGTAAGTCTTAAATATAACTATGCACACTAACATTTCTTTGTTTACTTTGACATCAACACATCTCTGAAGGTGTTGTTGGACTTGACATGTTAAAGTGGGGATTGGCTATACAGAAGTTGACATATTCATCATAGCATGATAGCAATCTCATGTTTTATGTTTGATTTTGATAGATCAAATCCTCTTCTTCTTCTTTATATATATATATATATATATATATATATATATATATATATATATATATATATATATATATAATTATTATTTTTCTTTAATTTTAATATCAAACTGTGAGCATTTGATTGTGGTTTAAAAAAATGATACAATATCGAAGGAAGGAAAGGTGACAGTATGTTTGCAGTTGCATCTATTTTTCATGTCATGCTGGTCGTGGATTTGGTTTTGTTTTTGTAATTGGAATAAAGTCATCTTCTGTTCGAATGTTTAGGACCATACATGATTAACTGTAGGAGATGATATACAATCCCATATTTTAATATGTTAGTTTTTCTTGCACAAGGTTACACTAACATGGTAAGTTTTTTTGTTGTAGAAAAGTGGGGATATTGGCTATCAGTTATTTTTCATGTGGTAGCTTTTGGTTTTTACTGTTAACTATATCAATTTAAGGCTTTTGGACTTTATGAATCTTCCCCATCTCTCTTTTCCCATCCTAGGATCTAGAATACCCCCTTAGTGATGGAGTACCGCTTATACTATGAGAAGGAAGATACCTTCCTTTGCCATAATATGGGTGTGAATATTTATTTATTTATTTATTTATTTTTCTCACATTTTGAAGTGACCATTTGATTCTGGAGTGCTTTCAGTTGAGCATGTCTCATTAAATTTATTATGTTCTGCATATTCTCAACTTTAGCTTTTTCTTTTGTCTCTCAGGGTAAAGGAGATGGTTTAGCTATTGAAAGAAGTGGTCTTAATGATAACTGGGATGATGCAGAGGGGTATTATAGTAAGTTAGCTCCTTTGTCTGCCATTTTATGATTGTCATTGGTCTTCCTTTATGATGGTGACCTGTCATCATTTTCCTTTATAACTCTTTTTCATGGATTTCTAATTATAATTCTTCTGTAAACTTATATATGGCAAGTATAGAGCATTATGGTTTCTGATTTTAAATTCCTAATGTTGTGATAAAAACGATTGTCTCGTGACACATATACTACCTATTCATAGTAAATAACCCTATGCTTAGGGGAAATGCACAACTTTCATTCAATATACAGAACATCAATGTCCAACATAATTGTGTAACTGAGCTTTATTAATTTCTCTCTCTCTCTCTCTCTCTCTCTTGTCATCACATTCGTGGTCATACAATCTAATACTTTTACATCTTTTCCTTTACAAAGGCTACCGTTTGGGAGAAGTGCTTGATGGCCGATATGAGATCATTGCAGCCCATGGAAAAGGAGTGTTCTCAATGGTTGTCCGTGCTAAAGATCTAAAGGCTAAACCTGGCGATCCTCAAGAGGTAGCAATAAAAATGATCCGTAATAATGAAACAATGTATGTTCTTCTGTTTTATTCCTTTCCCGGTTCCTGCACTTGCTGCCTGCTTTACAAGCAACCTAATTTCTTGGTGATGTTACACATAGGTACAAGGCTGGTATGGAAGAGTTGGTGATATTGAAGAAGTTAGTTGGTACAGATCCTGAGGATAGGCGTCACTGTGTTCGCTTTCTTTCTAGCTTCAAGTACCGGAATCATCTTTGCTTAGTGTTTGAATCTCTTCATATGAATCTTCGTGAGGTTTTGAAGAAGTTTGGCCGGAATATTGGACTAAAACTTACTGCTGTGAGGGCATATGCGAAGCAGCTATTCATTGCTTTGAAACATTTAAAGAACTGTGGTGTTCTTCATTGTGATATTAAACCAGATAACATGCTGGTATGCGACCTTTTCTTTCATGCTTCCCTATTCATGGCCTCCTCCTTGCTCCCAATCCAGATATGATGGTTGTCTTTTTGTTATATTACATTTGTGCTAATGTTTGGGCTTGAATGCATTTGATTGTCAGGTGAATGAAGCAAAAAATGTTCTGAAGCTTTGTGATTTTGGTAATGCCATGTTTGTGGGGAAAAATGAGATTACTCCATACCTAGTGAGCCGTTTTTATCGTTCCCCTGAGATTAGTAAGCGTTCTTATTTCTTGATATTTTCTTCAGCAGTTTGTTTTTTCTCTTTAAATCCCCAGAAGGAATGAGTTGATTTCATACCTCTTGACTCATGAGCTGCTTTATAGTGCCCCTTAAATTAGGATGCATCCTTTTTTTTTTTTCTTCACTCCCTGATATCTTGTTGTCACTATTCTAAGTTTTTATTTTTTTATTACTTCAGTTTTGGGCTTGACCTATGACCACCCAATGGATATGTGGTCAGTCGGTTGCTGCTTGTATGAGCTTTATACTGGAAAAGTTTTGTTTCCTGGTCCAACAAACAATGACATGCTTCGTCTTCATATGGAATTGAAGGGTCCATTTCCAAAGAAAATGCTTAGAAAGGTCAGTATAATCAGTCAGTTAAAGTGCACCTCTTTTGCATTTAAATCTGGTTAATGTGTTTTAGAGATTGAGAATCCTTTTGTTTGTTGATAATGTTGGGTGATTGTTCCTATTGTCCTTGCATTGTATTTGCAACTTGTAAAGCATGAACTGAAGTGGATACTCATCTTTGCATTCCTTCAAAACTATTACAGGGAGCATTTACAGACCGACACTTTGATCAAGATCTTAATTTTCTTGCAACAGAAGAGGACCCTGTCACAAAAAAGGTATTAATATTTTTACAGATTGCATTCCTTATTGTTTTTGATAGTTGATGAAAATTTTATTGGTTTTAATTAGGACTTCCTATTTGACATGCAGGCTGTAAGAAAGCTGATTACTAATATCAAGCCAAAAGATATTGGTACAATTGTTTTGGGCTCTCCTGGTGAGGATCCAAAAATGTTCACAAATTTTAAAGATCTTCTTGAGAGAATATTCATGCTAGATCCAGATAAGAGACTCACAGTTTCACAAGCATTAAGCCATCCTTTCATTACGGGCAAGTGATCAATGATGATGATTTTGACTGCAGACATGCTGTTGCCCTAGATTCCTGTAGAATTATGATAACTAAATTTACATTCAGTCTAACCATTGGGCATTTATCTGTTTTTATCTACTCTGCTGGCTTAAACGCTGTGGTCAGAGTGATTGTGGTGATTGAAGGGGGGAAGAGAAGACAGCTGACTGGGAGAGGCCTCTTTCTTGGCTGTTCTTTCAGTGGACTATTTTCTGTTTCTATTGTAAGATAACTTGCTAATGGCATTTTTCTTTTTGTACTCAATTCTTAATGGTCACCATTAGCAAGCTCTACACAACATGTTTTCTCCTGTTAATCATTGTTTAAAGATGTACTTGGACACAATTGTTGCAATTGTGATGGTTCAAGACACATTAAAAGATTTCACATTGATAGAAGCATGTTTATCAATGTACGTGTAAATGAGATTTTACTGATTTTGGCCATGTTTGGTTTAGTCTTAATTTGAATCCTTGTGATCTATTTTTCTAATGTTCTACATCTCATATCATTATATCCCTTTTATGTTTGAAATTGTTTGGGTCCTGGAAAATCTAACATGGTTTTTAATTCAGGATATCTACCAGGATTATGGGACAAGCATTCGGTTGTTTAGTTGCTTGAAAGGCACCCTGGAGAAGGTACCTTGGTTTGTTTGTTAGGAGCTTATTGTGACAACAACATCTGCAGTTATTATGCTTTTTGTGTCCCATTAATGCCAACTTTGCTTATTTGCTGATATTAGTCCTGTTGGTGATTGTAGACTTATTCTGCATTAGAATTTGGGCCCACAATTTGTGGATAGTTTGAATCTTGATTAGTTGATTGTATATATATATACATACATATATATATATATATATATATATATATATATATATATATATATATATATATATATATATATATATATATATATACACACACACACACACACATATGTGTCTCATAGTGGAGGAATGTCAGTGTTTCTAATTTAACTGTCAAGAGTTGGGAAGGTGTAGTAGATGATGGTGACCAGACATTTCCTTTCTATGCAATTTTTTTTTGTATGCATGGGACATTTTTTAATGCAAGTCCTGAATGTATTGTGATGCCTCCCAATATGGGGTAACTGATTCAGTGACCTTTACTTAAACACATTGTTTTTGCTTCTGTCAACTTTTTGCGTAAATATCATTTTACTAATCATATTGTATTGCGTCTGATCCATGGTGTGGTCACATGCTGGAGCAATGAATGTCTGGAGATGTTAAGAAGCCTTGAACTGAGAAAGTGTTCAAGAGTGAGTTGTCCTTTCAATTTTTGTGCTGTTGATTGTTGATAAGAAAGTTTTGCTAAAGATTGTTTTTTTTTGTTTTTTTTGTTTTTTTTGTTTTTGTTTTTTTTTTTTTAAATTTATTGGACTTTGTGTGTTGATAGGAGGGGTAAGGGGTTGGCTTCATGGTTCTGCAACTATAGCAAGTACTCTTGTTTACACTCGACTTGGTTTATATTATTTTTGATGAGCAAGTATCTGGGGGGTGCTTTATTACTGTCAGTCATCTTGTTCCTGTGGTCAACCGGGAAGTAGATGAGTATCATCCTAATATATTTTGTTGTATGTACATATTAGATTCAAAGGAATGTCTAAATTATTGGTGGCTGACTTGTTTCTTGGTTGGTCATTCAACCAAATTTTGGTAATTAATAATGCAGCAGCAGCAGCAGCTCATCATGTAGTCTGCTAATTTCTCTTTGCTTCTTGATGATCCAGTCACATGGAACAGTTTTCCTTAACTTTGTATTTTTGGATGCTCTTTGGTTCTGACAAAAAAGAAAAGAAACATAAAACTGGAAAGATGAGTGTGGTGTGTATGACAGGATAACTTTGTCAGCATTTATTTGATGACTGCCAGGTCAATCCACATAAATCATTTCTTTTAAAACAAAGCCATGCCCAATTATAGTGCTATTGAGTTGGTAAAGTGTTTGTTTGGAGATAGTTGAAGTAGTGGAGTTTTGTAGACAAACAAACAAATATTAGTTTGATTAAGAAGTTGGAAGGCATAGGCTAAATCCAGGTCTGACGAATTATCCATCTCTCTCAAAGTTGAACCAGCAGTTTCCGACTGCTTTACTCTTCTTTTTTTTTTCTTCATCATTTGCTATTAATTAGTCCGACTTGTAAGTTGTTTCCAGAAGAAGTAGGTAAGGTAATTGGTTTTGATTTCATTGGACCAACTCCTTCCTCAAAAGTCAAAGTCATTTATATACTTGTGTTGGTTTCACATACATGAAAATCGAATGCAGCAGCGTAAGTGGTAAGTTGTGTACGTGTCTTTGGCAAATAAATAGAAATTCCCCTAGTCTTGATTACTTCTGCATCTTATTCAATCATTATTCCATGGATAAAAATTATATTTTTAATATACAAAAAGTACATAATTATATATATATATATATATATATATATATATATATATATATATAAAATGTACTTTTAGTATATTAAAAATGTATATTACATTCATGGTTTACACAGTTATGTGGATCATGATTCACACAACAATTTGTCCTCCTTGTTAGGGTGGGTCAGGGTCATTTGCTAATGAAATTGTATGTTGTGGAACGTTCTCCAAATACATAAGATCAACTCATCTGGGAAATCACTTTCTCAACTACGTCACTCCTTTTCGATCTCATTCCACAGGCTGGGTGTACTGTATCTATTTTTGAAATCTGATTATTTTATACAGTAGTTTTGTATGTACTCTACATTTTGGATCTTCCTTGGAAATATATTACTACTTTAGTTGAGAAATTGCAAACACACTTGTACTCATTATTCTTCTCTTCAAGCAAATTAAAGACCAGAGTAGAACGTAGCATCACTTTTAGTATAAGTACAGGTAATTGAGGATGATCATGGTTTAATTTGAATTGAATTGGGCAAATTAAAGAACCTTAAACCAAGTGAGACAGACATTCGCTAGACGAGCAATCAACTTGGTTAAACTTGTAGTAAATCATACATGCATAATAGTTACAAGACTAATAATAAATTAAATATAAAGAACATGCAGGGGCAAGCTAAGGTGTTTATGAAGATAGACGTACTTTTAGGTTACCAAACTGATTTTTGGTGGAAGAAAAGGAAAAGGACTAGCAGTTGGCTGGTTCACTCTTCCACGATTCCCAAGTCCCAACCAATTCAACAAGCTAGAATCAATTGCAATTGGTTTTAGGGTTAACCTGGCCTGAAACACATAGATTACGAAAATTAGTGAATAGTAAATAGCGGCTGCTGGCTGGCAAGAACATAACGTATAATTGCAATCAACATAGTCCACCTTTCCCCAAACGTACGTACGCACAACGTTATATGTTGAAAGTGACAAAATTGGACCGCGTGAGACAAGACAGCCGCAAAAAAAGTCTAACCGCGTGACGTTCCCCAGGCCATCGCAATGTAATTTCCTTAGCTTCTTCTCGCAAGACTTAGCCTATAAGGTAAATACATAATTATTATCCCCACACGCCGGCCCCCCTCAGATCATTTCACTCGCTTACATCCATATATAAACTCCAATAATAATCTAATATTATACACCAAAAGGTGTAATCAGACAAGCTAAGGCTCGTTTGTTCCCCCCCGCCTACTACGTTACGTTGTCAAAGGCTATACAACTAACAAACGAGCCGATCGATCGAAATACGTACGTACAGTGATGGGAAAGAGGATCGACGCCTTGCTTGGAAGAAGTAGCCTCAACACCGCTAAGCTCAAAGCCACCGCAAACCTGGCCATTTCACGCCTTGCCGTTCTTAAGAACCAGCGCCAGGCCAAGTGTTCCATAGCCCGCTCCGATGTGCTTCAGTTGCTCAACCTCGGCCAACACGACAGAGCTCTTCTTCGGGTAATCATTAATTAATGTTTTGTTTAGTGGGTTAATTGGGTTCTCTGATCTGATCTTATCTGATAACGTAACTAAAAGTGCATGCATGTGATCTGATCGATGATACGAATGAATTAATCTTAGTTGTTTGTTTTGATTTGGGTTTCATCAGGTTGAGCATGTGATGAAGGAGCAGAACATGCTGGATGTGTTTGTTATAGTTGAAGGCTACTGTAATCTGTTGACAGAAAGGGTCAACCAGTTAGAACACGAAAAGTAAGTGGTCTTTCTTTCATTCACACTTGACAAGAATTGATGGAATGGAACAAAAGTATCACATACATTTGTTTCATGCATGTTTTAATTTGATCGACTTCAATTCGATCAGCTTTTAATTTGTACATACGTACAGGGTTTGTCCTGATGAGTTGAAGGAAGGCATATCCAGTTTGATATTTGCAGCTACAAGGTGTGGGGAATTCCCAGAACTTCAAGAGCTCCGTGCCATTTTCACTGCAAAATTTGGAAAGGAATTCACGGCCCGGGCTGTTGAGCTCAGGAACAACTGCGGAGTCAATCCAAAGGTACGTAACTGCATGCACATCTCATCTTATGTATACATGCACTTAATTGTAAAGAAACAATTAATATAATATAATAATGTTTTCTTACTTTTATTAATTTACGACAATGTATATATATATATATATATATATATATATATTAACAACAAATTGAACCACTACCATCCATATATATATATATATATATATATATATATATATATATATATATATATATATATATATATATATCCACTTCCCTTACATTATGCATGCATAATGCAGATGATTCAAAAGCTGTCGACTAGGATGCCTAGCCACGAAAACAGATTGAAGGTCCTTAAAGAAATCGCAAAGGAAAATAACATTGTTTTGCAGCTAGAGGAGACGATGACAGATCTTGAAGAAGCAACAAAGGTATAATTAATTAATTAAATACTTGAATAATTGGTTTCATTTTTCTAGTCCGGGCCGGGCCAGTAAAATCTATATATTGGTGATTATATTGCAGGAGGAAAAGGGTGTGGAAGACCGGGGGACTGCTCATCGTATCCCTCTTGTGTTTGATGAAGATGGTGCAGAAATGGAAGTGAAGGGAAAGTACAAGGACGTGGCCGATGCCGCCCAGGCAGCATTTCAATCAGCAGCTTATGCGGCCGCAGCTGCCAGAGCTGCCGTCCAGCTTTCTCGCTCAGAATCCGCTACTACTACTGGATCTCATCATCATCCTCCATATAATACTCCCAGATTCGTTGCAGATAACAAAAGCTCCCATCCAGACACTATTAACATCCAAACTAATGATGAGGAAAAAGATATTGTGAATGAAGGTGGTGGATTCAACCCCGAAACTCAACCTGCAAAAACACAAGATAATAATAATAAAAGTGCTACTGCAGAAAATTTAAATGAAGATAGGAAGCCTATCTCAATGAGAACTAAACCCAAACATCGCTGGTGGCAAGGAAATGAAAAATAATACTTCATCAGATCAGAGCTCGATCCAGTATTTACATATATACATACAATATGAACAGAGTGATCATTGAGACGGATTCTCTCTAGGTGGTACATGGGGCTTAATGTAAAATTAGGAAACTCTTCCTTTCATCTACTTCTGCAGGGTTGTAATGTGTTATCTAGGGATTTGAATTAATTTAATGTTTTTTGTTTGCCAAAAAAAAAACAAACTTAAAGAGTTAAGCCTCACAGTACAAGACTACAAGTCTACAAGCAGAGTGATAGACCATAAGTCCAGTGTTTCGAAATTGCCCCTGCCTCTGCCACTTTATTACGAATCAGGACGGCCAAACACTTGAACACGCGTCAGCCACGATACACCAACGATAACAACTACTGTACTATACACTAAAAGGACAGTAGAGAACTTGAGGCGACCGCCGGCGATGACGACGGTGCCTTTGCTGCTATCCACTACGGGGCCTTTACTCCGGGGAACACAAAACTTCCTTGTTCATATCAAGGCTACGAAATGGCCTCATGGTAGCATAAAGTTGGGATCTTTGCGCACAAGAGAAAAACTTGTCAAATTCAGCACACTCAATTGGAACCGCGGGAAGGTAGTTCTCGCTGCGAAATCCGGCGGCAGTGGCGATGGCTCCATTCTAGAAAACCACGATAATGTTCAGAGGAGAAGATTCATACAGACTATTCTATGGATTGCAGAGGGGGTCTATGTGCTTTGGCTCTTTTTGCTCCCCTACGCACCTGTAATCTAATCTTCATTCTACTACAACTAACTCGTATCAAATTTTGTGTTAAATTTCTGTTTGTTTTGCGCCTGCCTGCATTTTTGTTTCATTAATATATCAGTTTTCGATTAATTATCTCTATTGATAATACTTTCTGTATTTATATTATTGTGCTTCATACTTGACGATTATACTTCTTCCACTTATAATTAAGAAAATGCATGCTTATAACATCTTTCAATTGGTGCTGCTTAATTAATTGCTTTCTACAAGCACATTTAATTTAAGTGGAGCAAGACATTTGTGCTCTTCCAATGTAATTTTTCCCATCAAATATATTCTCGGGAAACACTTTCCCAGGAATTTAATTGATGAGAAAGTACTAAACGGCCTCTAATTGTATTGTATGTTATCTTGTGTAATGCAGGGTGATCCTGTATGGAGAATCAGTTCAGCCACAGTGAATGATATTGTTGGTCTTTCCCTCAATTTCTTTTTTATTCTGCCTCTATCCAACATTGGTATGTTTCTTACCTAAGGTGGATTTAAGTTAACTGAGTGCTCCTTTATATGCTACAACTTTTTTTAGGGATTTTGGTACTAAGATGTTAGTTACTATCATATTACATAAATGGATTCTCTTTGTAGTTTCCATAGGCTTTAGTTTAGAGTTGAATCTTGCTTTTGTGTGATGACGATTGTTTGGCAGAGTAGTTGGCATTCATTTCTTAGAGGCACCAGTGCTTCATCCTGTAAGTACAAACTTGATCAACTTATTCATCATCAAACTAATAACTGATTGACATGAAACTCTTTGCTGAAGTGCTGCTTTAATTTTGTCGTTGTTTTCTCTCTCCCTCAGATGTCTGAAGGATTATTCAATTTTGTTATCGGGTGGACATTTATGTTCGCACCTTTGTTGTTCACTGATCGTAAGAGGGACGGGTATAAAGGATCACTGGATGTTCTGTGGGGCCTCCAAATGTTCCTCACAAACAGTAAGTAGTTTTGTCTCAAACTCAAAGGTTTATTTTGGTGGACAAATGGAATATACAAAACTGAAAACTCTGTTTGGCAGCAGTTAAGTAATTGAACTGTATGTTTGTATATCCTGCAGCATTCTTAATACCATACATGGCCATTAGGCTAAATGGTGGCGGCACAGATGATGATCCAAGAAAGAGCACCTCTGAATTAGGTTCTGTGATGACTAGTGGTGCACGCATTGTTGGTCTAATTGGTGTTGGTGTCTGTTTGGTGTCAACATTTTGGGCAATCTTTGGGCGCGGGGATGGTAATTTTGGGGACATATCAGAAAGATGGGAGTTCGTGGTGAGTTATCTAGGATCGGAAAGACTTGCGTACGCCTTCATCTGGGACATTTGTCTGTACACGATTTTCCAACCATGGCTCATAGGAGACAACTTGCAAAACATTGAGAAGGACAAGGTTGGTGTGGTGAAGTATCTTAGGTTTGTCCCAGTAGTTGGCTTAGCTGCCTACTGCCTTTGTCTAAACCTCGATGACAATTAATCGTAGATGAAATGCATGCATGTTGGTGTGATTTCAGAATACAGTTTTTAGTTTTTAGCTGCAAAACATCGATCCTGAGTAGTTAGTTCAATAGCCGCCGCAGGAGAAACTCATTGATTATACTTTTAAATCGCGCATGACATGATCGATGTCACACACTATATATCAAAAAAAGAAAGGGAGCAAATTAAAATTAAAATTAAAATGAAACAAGATAGAGTATTGGTTATTGGGGGGAGATGAGAGCAGCAGGAATTACAAAATAATTAAATAGAATTAAGAGGAGATGTTGACACCACTTTGCTGCCACAAATTGATGATATCAGTGGCCTGATTGAGTAATATGATCATTTTCTTCTGGGATATCCAAGGCTTGCTCTCTAGTGTGGTCTTCAGCTCTTCCCATGCATCTTTCCTTGGCCAAAAAAAGTATGGACTCAAAGGAACTGTACCGTGCCCTGCTATTTCTTGATCAAGTCCTAACCCTATGTTCTTTTCCATCCACACGAACTTCAACACCAGTTTTGTCTTCCCCACCTTCTTCACCCCCGCTCCACTCTTCTGCAATACAATTCACCCAATTTTGATTAATTAATTGTATGTATATTACTTATTACTTAACCACCCAGCAATCCCAGCATATACATTATCATATTATATTGCCCAAAGATGCAAACTTTTTGTCCAAACTTACAGCCTAGCTTTAAACTGACTATTAATTACTCATTTGAACCACAAACTTGAACTTAACTTAAGTAGTAGCTAGTTTACAACTAAATATATAATTATGAGCTAAGAATTGGAATAAAGTTTTTAATTACCTGGGTGGGAGCCTCCAAAGCAGCCGTAGCTGCAATCTTGAAGTCTCTTCTAATGGGTGTGGTTTTGGCTTGAAGAATTATTGTTGCAGGAGCTCTGGGCTTTACAGAGAATGGTTTGTTGGAAAATAAAGAAGACGGGCAAGCGAAAGTTCCCTTTATGTTGGCTTGAACTGACGACATTGATAACATGGTTAGTTTTCTCTGAGTCTGGAGATGGAGATTTTTGAATTCTATGTCGGAACGGAAGGTACAGTAGTTGGATTGCAGCGCAGCAGGTGGTTGAGACTTGAGAGTTGAGAGTTGAGAGGATAAGGCACTATACACTATAGACATACAGTTGCAACTGAAGCTGGGCCTTAGTTTTTCACTGGCCTATACATGTGTATGGAAGTCCAATTGAGGTAACCCAACTTGCTGCATATGCTATTTATTGCAGCCCAGAATCCTCAATAAGACATGGTCTCTTAGCTTCTCCCAATATGAACAACTTTGTCATTGGGATTTGGGTGAAACCGAGTACCACACAAAATTCCAAGTACCTTGTGCTCAGATAGCATGTAGTGACCTCTCCCATGTGGGACATTATGAGATCGAACTTTAAGTGGAGGTTGTGTGCTTCATTAGGTTGAGAAAGTATGTTTGAACACATACTACAATGTAATAGAGTCAGTAGCATTAAGAAAAAAAAATACCACACAAATGGAAAATATTATTAGTGTAAATCAGAAGATTGACATATATATATATATATATATATATATATATATATATATATATATATATATATATATGCATCATGTTTTGGGTCCATCTTTATACCTGAATACAAGTTAAACTTCTGTGGAGACAAACATATTTGAAATGCAAAAACGTTCCCAAACAAAATGTAACAATATATATAATACATGAACAAAATGTAAAAAGGCAAAACAAGGTAAGTTATGTAACATATATATCTAGCTGCTTCTTTTACTTTTGCATTATACTAAAACATGTAATAATATAATTTACAGTAGATCAGACGAGGGACATTAAATCATGGCTAGCGCTAGCTTCTTGTAATGATGATAGGATGTATAGTAGCTAGCTAAGCTAGGTGGCGGTGAAGGTCTTGATTTGAGCAATCAATTCATCAGTTCTTGTTTGTGCGATCTGTGACTTGCTAAGAATATGAAATGCATGCCCAACACCTTTGCACATAAACAACTCCACTTTCTTACCAGCTCTACTCAAAGCCCCACACAACTCCAAGCTCCTATCTTTCAATATATCTAGCTCCGATATGAGCACTAGACTTGGTGGAACCCTCATATTTGTGCACCCTTTCACGCTGGGGTTGCACCACGGGTGTTCACGGTTAGCCCCCACCGGGAGTGCTAGCCGCCAATACGTGTCGGAGGCCGCCAATGTGAGCGGCGAGTGCGATGGTTGCGCCGTGTATATCTCCGAATAAGTTCTTGATTCTCCTCCCACAAATGGTTGTATGAGAATGGTCCCTTTTATGACCAAAGGGTTTAAGGGTTTAAATTCTTGGTCACTTCTGGGACATAACCTTAGGGCAACATTGTAGGCTATATTGGCGCCCGCACTGTCACCACCTAGGAAAACACTAGAAAAGTCACATTTGTTTGACCAGCAATAATATTCTTTGGCGGCTACACTACCCATGGCCGCCGCCGCATGTTGCCTTAACCACATAACTGCCTTAACGCCGTCATCGTACGCTGCCGGAAGTGGATTTTCCGGTGCCAACCTATAGTTCACTGACAATACCACACAATTTGCTTTTCTTGCCAATTTTGCCAGGAATTCATGGTAACAACTCCAAGAAGCCGAGCCGACGCAAAATCCACCTCCATGAAAATATACCAGTAGCGGAACCTTATAATCACATCTCGGAACGTAACAACGCGCCCAAATGTTCGTGCTCTTATCAATTTTCACATCAGTACAGGTCACACAGAATTCTGGAGGCAATGAACACGAAACATTCGGGATAATCTGTGCTCTCTCCACGTGACCATCTCGGTAAACTTTAATCAGTCCCGGAATTTCCTCTTCTATTTTATGTTGTTTGCTGATTTGGAGGCCTAAACTAGGATCTACTGTAATGGATGGCATTTTTCTTCTTCTCATATATAAGATGTGAATATATATATATATGATAGAAATGGAAGGAAGGAAACAAGAAGCTAAGGAAGTTGACACTACTATATAATATCAAATAATGTTTGGGTCAAGAATTGCATAGGTGAATGGTTGGTCTATCTTTATATAGAAGCCAAGCTAGGAGAATGAAAGCATCGATAAGAATGTACGTGGAGATTGAGGGGTGGATTATTGGCCACTTTGTAGATGACAAGTGGGAAATTGGGATGCTATCCTAGCTTCCACACGTCTTCACATGGAGTTGACAATGGTGGGCGGGCTGCTCTAGTGCTTTTGGCGAAACGCATAATGCTTCTTATCACTTTCGGGCCTGGCTTGAATTGCCTCGAAACGATTATATATGGATGGGTGGTTGAGTGTTTTGGTCAATGAATCACTTTTGTGCTTATATTAATGCACATTGCTAAAATGTGTTAGGATTCTGTATTCTAAAATATAATTTATTCTCACTCTCTCTATATTATTCTCGTATTGAGAAAAAGCATGAATCCACTTCAAAGTACAGAGTTGAGAAACACTTTTACACATTATAATTTAAATCTCACTATCTCTCCCTATTGAAAACTAACTCTAGTACAACTCCTAAGAGAAATTCATCTCTCTTCTCAATACTTCTCAACTCTTAGTACATAAAGATAGAGAATTAAATGCACACCTTAGCTTTCTTTCTTGGCTGGAAATCTTTATATAGCCTTTTAAGAGATTTTTAATCTTTAGTCCGCATGAGAATGTGATTTTCTGAGACTTATATTTCTCATTTTATTTTTGTCTTTGATTTTTTTTCATTTTGACCAACATTAGAATTTATATTTTTTTGCCAATAGTTTAAGACAACAAAATGACCAACACATGTCGTAATTAATATTATTCATATTTGTAAACATTTAGTTAAAAAGTTTGACCTATTGGCTTAGTTCTATAATCACATTAATCACAAGAAAAAAGTAATATCTGCATTGTTTGGATCTTTAGTTTGCATTTTTCTATGGTGTGAACTCAGATATTCAAATGTTTTTGGTAATGACATCATATCATATCATGGGTCAGTGGCGTTATTATTATTAAAAGGATTTTGATCACATTTCATTTCACATGAAATGCATTCTCTTCGTGGATGTCTACGTTTGTGGTATTTCAATAGCTTATGCCTTTATGGTCCACATTCGTGTGTCCAAAGTTTGACCCAATGTCTTCTCCACTCAATTTAATAGAAATAGATCATATGGAATTGAACTCATGCTTGAATGGTACTATGTAAAGCTTATCAATAATGGACTAAATAATGCCATGGTGGTCGCCTAATCAATGTATGAAGGTTTAGACTTCACTGAAAATTTAAAGAGTCATTTAAAATTTTGATTAATAATGTGAACATTTCTTATAAATAAAAATATAATTTGAAATTACTTATACAATTTAGAATTTAATCGGAATTATAAAAAGAAGGCACTAAATAAATTAAAATGAAAAGGCAGTACGTGTGGGGTAGCAGACAATTAGGAAGCCAACCACAATACAAAATAATGCATCCATGCCAGCTAGCTACTGTCAAACCTAACTTTATTTAGGCTGTTCCCCAGTAGCATCTTTTCATTGCAACCTATTATTCTGCTGTCAAGACGTCAACCCCCTTCCCCCAATTCCATATATATTTCCTGAAAAAATTATATATGTATGTACCTTCTTTGAATTTATTCATTTAAATCGACTAAATTTATATATATTCAATACAAAAAGATTGCGAAACTTAAGGTAAATTATTCTATTTGAGACAAATTATTTGAAGTTAATAATGTAAAAAATTTTAGGATATGATTTTCTTTTTAGTGGGAATTGAAGTTGAAATGGGCAAGTGGTTTAGTTGCTTTAATTTATAGACCCCAATCAGCTTCCAACTTTTTATCTAGACCAGAAGTGATCTTTGATTGCCTACTCTGATGAGGACATGGATGGAACATGCATGCTTTAGATTCTATAACTAAATATAATTCAAATTTGAGTGAGGAATATTGGGTGGTGGTATTAAACTCATGATCATTTATATATTTATAATATATGTTTCACTTTATATTTTTTTAAAAGGTTAATCTTTTTCTGAGGTGTTAGTACTGCTTTTGAGTTTTGACCAAGGGCATTTCTATAGCTTGTTTATATGCATGCATGCTACAAACCTGCTAGCTAAGATAGTATATGTTTATATTTTTTTTTGAAAATATAGTATATGTTTATATAGTTTCATACTCTCTCCATTTTTAGTCTATTTAGTTACATTTAATTATGATGATTCTATTTTAGAATAATAAATCTTTATTTTATTTTTATGATGATAAATAATAACATTAACTAAAATTTTAAAGATATATTCATTTTATCTCATTGTATAGTTGTTATATACTTTAAAATTTAGTATTGTTAACCATTCTTTGTGACTTCCCATCATTCAATTCACTTTATTTTTGAGAGCACATTTCGAGACATAAGAGATGTAAAACCAATAGAAAATAGTTTATTATACTGTAATTTGGTGATGGAATAAAATCCACCCAATTACTTGACAATTCCAAAACCATTTTCTCTATTTATTCTTTGAAAGGTATTTTTAAATCTTTTCATATAATTTTATTTTTGGTTTCCAAAAGTATGTAGGATGAGATCTAAGCATGAGAACCTCTTCCAAGACGATTCTTGTACATAGGTTGAAAGGATCGATCAAGATAAAGAAGTGGAATCATTTCCCCTAGTTGGTCTAAAGGGTATCTTTAAAGGAAAAGAAGAAGAAGAAGAAGAAATTGCTCCAAGATTTTTGTAGAATTAAAATGTTGGCGGATTGGAGAAGTATTTTAAGGATATTATGGCCCTGTTTGGTAAAAATAAATTAACTTTTTGATTTGGTTAAAAAATTAATATAAATTTTTTTACCTCTAAAATGCTAAAATTCAAAAAGCTGCTCCAACCAACTTTTTCAATTAGCTTTTTTGAGAAAAGAAATTATATCAAACAACTATCAACTAACAGCTAATTTACCAAAACACCTTTCTACAATTAACTAATGTTATCAACTAGTTATACCCTCTAATTAACCCAATCAGCCAACAGCTAACATCCATTTACCAAACATGACCATGAATTTTGAATTATAGCATCAAGATGAACTCAAAAATACATTTATTATGGTATTATTATTGTTCCCAAAAGGTTGAATCCTCAACCTCAAGGATCCCAACGTCCCGACCCGACAGCGCATCTAAGAGGATGTAAATCATGGTAACTCAGTTGAACACAGAAGCTATACTTTTGCTTATTGCGCACAAGGAGCCTCCCCCACTTTGAGAGGTTGCTCTTCCATCCCTGATCATTGTTTCTAAACTCCACCCCTATGACTAACTGGCTGCTCATGCGGGTTATATGATATTATTATTATTTTTAAACTTAGGTGATTATGGTAGTATTAATTGTTTGAACAAACATGGACACTACTTAAAGTGCATTTAGAAGAGCTCATCGCTATCCTAATAGTAAAATTTCATAGGAAGATGGTGTGATTGAAATGTTATAATTAATCATAATAACTAGATATTCGCTATTATTTATCATATTGGTCATTTTTTTCACCAATCAAAAACATACATCATATATATTGCCATAGCGCAGATATATAGCTGTCCTTTATAATCTATACAATAGTTATGCTGTGGAATCGGTGTTCACCATGCGCATGGTGAACATGTGATAGATTTATAATTTCTAAGCTGTAGATTCATAATTTTTATACTGTAAATTCATAACATCTATACTGTAGATTCATATATAATTTCTAGATTAATAATTTTTATATTGTAAATTTATAATTTCTATACTATAGATTCGTAATTTCTGTACTGCGAAGACGAAATAATGAGATTGCGAAGAGAGAATCGTCGTTAACAACAAATGAAAAACAAAATTATGAATCTAAAACATAGAAATTTTGGATCTACCAGTGTGTTCACCATGTGGTGAACACGTTTCCACAACATAATTTGGGTAATCTATATTAACCAACTACCACGTCCAGGCCGGGACAGAGAGTGACATGCTTTTGATGAGATAAGATTCAAATCTTGAATATATATCAAAAGCAAGAGAGCTTTAGAAGAAGTCCTTTTGTTGTAGACGACTGAGATTCGGATATTATATAGAAAATGCAATTCAAGCACAGTGCAAAATGTGCTGTATGGATCAGATATGGCCGGGAATAGGAATACATAAAAGAAAGTGGCCTGGGAAGGATTAGCTAGGTTAGTACAATAATCAAGTTGATGTGGAATTATATTAAATCACGACTGTCACATGGGATTCAATCAACATCTATCAAATATCTAACCCGGCCATCCAGTTGCTCGAATATGTGCACATTATTTCACATCATATATATATTAACATCAACGATACCAACATGTGCCTAATGCTAAATTTACAGGGTATCTGTGTTTGCTAAAACTTTAAGATAATCTATTCCACAGATGACTAATAGTTACCTTCCATTACCAAGCAGATAGAACCTATATATGATATGAAAGGAAGGCGCTGCAGGGAGCAACCCAAGTCGAGCGTGAAAGCCACTTAATTATTAGCTTTCTCGATTTGAGTCTGTCACCTATGTGCAACTTAGGTTGGTTTATCTTCATGTAATCTTTTGTTAACTAAGGCTACAAATTAAAGCGAGTTTTATCCTAAACACACATTCGGATAAATTAAATGCAGTAAGTTTTTTCATAAATCTTTCCCTAAATAAACCCTTAAATGCTCTCACAAATAAATATTGTATAGTAGTTGCATTTGATGAAGGATAGATGTGATACTGCCATGTCCAATGAGAAAGGGTGAAGAATGAAGCTGAGGGCAATCTTGTCTTTTCTAGCTTATTTGTATTTCTGTTTTTTCTGTTATAACTGCCTCCTCAGTATAAAGGATGGCAGTTATCCTTCTTTGGCTTGTAACTTCACTTTCCGATCTTCCAGATGAATGCAACAGTGAACACTCTCCATTTTTCTTCTCTTCACTTCACCACCATGAGTTCATCAGCTTGAGCATAGCTATACTTGCTTGTTTCGTCATGGTATCAGAGCGTCGAAGCTACGCTGCTGCTGTAGTCATGGATCAAGAGAATGCCGGAGCAAACCCTACTGGAAATGCAGCAGGGGCGTCAACACCGGTCAATCAGATTCATGTGCCTCAGAATCAGACGCATAGGCTTGATGAACTTGATGATCCGATGTATTTACATGCTACTGAGAATCCGAATACCATCCTTGTATCCCCTCCCCTGTCAGAGTGCAATTACTCAACATGGAGTAGATCCATGAAGATAGCATTAGGAGTCAAGAACAAACTTGGCTTCGTGAATGGTGAAATTGCTTGT